AAAAAAAAAAAGAAGACGTTAACAACATTAAGTATTCCGTAGGAGCAGAAACCCACACTGTCTTTTTGTGCCTTGTATATTTTCATAGCATAAAGTCCTTGAGGTTCATCCACAGCCCTGTCTTTCCTCATCAGGTTTTGTTAGTGTTTTTGTATTCAATGGGTGGCCCAATACAATTCTTCAAAGTATGGAAGGAAAAAAAAGATTAGACACCCATATCTGACACAGTTCTCAGTAAAATGGCACCAGAGCTTTCTCTCCTGAGCTATTATGTCAGTATATGGTATTTAGCATAACACCTAGCACAGGGAAGTGTTCAGAAGCTTCAGTCACTGCTCTTGCTGCCATATCTTGGATTTTAGATTCTGGTCTTTGGTTAAAGGCACCGTGAATATTGTCATCTCTGAAGTTGCCACCCATCCTTTAGCTCATCTCCATACTCAATATCACTTTCTGTGTCAAAAATAGTATCTAACACACATACAGAGATAGCCCTGCATTGATGTTTTTATTTGTCAGTTTCTTAAATTGTCCACAAGAATGAGAAATACCCTCATTTAAAGGATATTAGAACCTTCGGTTGAAGACTACAGTAAAACAGAAGAGAAGACATAATGTGCTCAGAAATACTTTACTTGGATTTGTCGGAATAATCATCTCAATGAGTCTTCTCCATCCTCTCACCTGTCTTCTCTTTTTGTGGAAACATAAGAACTCTACCCATAACCCTTCGGTAAATTGTGTTTTCATTTCAGAGCCCTTTGACATTCAAGGATGTGGCTATAGAATTCTCTGAGGAGGAGTGGATGTGCCTGGACCCTGCTCAGAGGACTTTATACAGGGACGTGATGTTGGAGAACTACAGGAACCTGGTCTCCCTGGGTGAGGATTACTTTTCTCCTGAAGTTAGGATCTATCCTTGCATACCTTTCTACTTTCCCTGATTGCCTCTTGGAACTCCCTATGTTTTTGACTGAGATTGAAGCTGTATTTATTCAGAAATGAAAAGCTTCTCAATGTGCCATCTGGACATTACCTGTCCCTCTGTTTATATTATCTGCACCCTTTACCATACTGGAGGTGTGCTGGAAATCACATGACTTTTTAAATAGCCAATTCTTTATTCTCTACCCCTGTACTGTTGGTTCAGTAGTTTTGGGAAGTCTGCTAGACAGCAGTATCTCACAGTGTTCCCTCAGCATTTAGAAGTGGATGTTTAGTGGATGAATTTGTGAAATATTTCCCTAAATCTCTCTGCAATGTCCTCCCTCCTATCTTTGCATGTGGCTGGAATTTGGGAAAAGCACCAGAATTTGATGTTCCATTTATTTTTTATATCTATAAGCATCTATAAGCAGGAATCTCTGTGTTTTGTTTTGTTTTTTCAGTTTTTGTCCAGGGCTGGGTTGGAACCCACCACCTCCAGCATATAGGGCCAATGCCCTACTCCTTTGAGCCACAGGTGCTGCCCAGCAGGAATCTCTGTTTTTAACCTGATTATTATGTCCATGTTGGAGCAACAAAGAGGCTGTGGACTCAGGAGGTGAAGTGGAAATAGCAAAAACTCCAGATGGGTGGGACCTTTGGCTCAGTGCGTAGGGTGCTGGCCCCATATACCAAGGGTGGCAGGTTTGAACCTGGCCATGGCCCTGGCCAGCTACAATAGCAGTGACAACTGCAACAAAAAGAGCCGGGCATTATGGCGGGTGCCTGTAATCCCAGTTACTCTGGAGGCTGAGGCAAGAGAATCGCTTAAGCCCAAGAGTTGGAGGTTACTGTGATCTGTGATGCCATGGCACTCTACCAAGGGCGACAAAGTGAGACTCAGTCTCAAAAAAAAAAAAAAACCACCAGATGGGTAGGAAAGTATCTGTGAAGTACAAGAACATTTTTGTTGTTGTTGTTGTTGTTAGAGTAGGGTAGAGTGCCATTGCATCATAGTTTACAGTAACCTTAAACTCCTGGCCTCAAGGGACGTTCCTGCCTCAGCCTCCTGAGGAGCTAAGACTACAGGCACCCACCATAACAGCCAGCTAGTTTTTTTATTTTTAAGGAGAGCATCTGTTCTCATCCTGTGAGTTGTGACCCACAGGAACTGTATTAAAGGGTTGCAGCATTATGAAGGTTGAGAACCACTGTAGTAGAGAGAGGCTGTCAATCTTGCTCAGGCTGGTCTGGGACTAGTCAGCCTCTCAGAGTGCTAGCATTGCAGACCTGAGCCAGCATGCCTGGCCTACATAAAATCCTAAGTCCCACCTGCTGATGAAATGGACCCCTCTCTTTGCCAAGAGAATCCCAAAAATACCCTAAAGTTGAGTTTCTGGCCCTGAGAAGGAAGGTCTCCACATTCCTCCTTCCTTTCTTGAAGATATTCTTTGTAGCTCATTAACAGGCCTGAGGCTGTGCAGGACAAAGCTTAAACCACACCTGCATGTCATTAATTTACTTAACTGATTCCCATTTCCTTAAACAATTACAAATTAAAGAATTTCTAAACCCACCTATAACCTGTAATGGCCCACTTTGAGATGTCCAGCCTTTTCAGTTCAAATCAATGTACACTTCCATGTATTGATTTATGACTTTACATGTCTTTCCTGTCTTCCTGACATGTAAAACTGAACTCTAACCCAGCCATGGGGAGAGCACTTGCTCAAGGCTTCTTGGGTGTGGCTGTTTATGCTGGTGATGGTCCCACATACTTGTCTCAGAATAAACCCCTTTACATTATTTGCATCCTTTTCCACTGGCGTATCAAGGTCATAACAGGTAAGAGCTCAGATGGGCAGAGAGAAAGTTGCATCATTAAATAGTGTTTGGGAATCTGTCCTCACACCAAAGAGTTCTGCGGTACAATAAAAGTTTAAATCCTGTGAACTCTGAACAGAAGCCTTTGTCCCCACTTGTCACTCTGTTATTTACACATGTGATGGTTTATTTTTTCCCTCTTCATTGGTGCTGCAGCTCAGAGACAAAGTCTTTATTGTGATGGATAATATGCTGTCATCTGGCTTCAGTGAACTCCTGGTTCCCTTCTCCATTTATGGCACATGAGAGGATGTTTCAGAGGGTCTCTTTTCCCCATAGTGTGTGTTTCTGTACTTGATTCCATCTGGTGCTCAGTTCTCTGTCTTTAGCGGGTGTCTGTCTCTGACACCTTACCCTATTCAGGTTCCTCCCCAATTCCTGTACTTGGAAAACCTGATCAGGATGTGGGCAAACACTGGCTGCTGTTTCTTTGCATCTGGGGTCAGGAAACTGCACATGCTGTCTGCTGCCCTCTCTGCCTGTGCATATCTATCTGAGATAGGAAAGAGCCAGAGCATTGTTTTTCCTCTTTCACACCGTTCATCACAAAATCCCTCTTCTGGTCCCCAAAGTGTGTGGGGATTTCTCTCCTCCCACAACCAATTTTCTGACCCACACCATCTGGGTGTCCTATAATGCAATTTAGTTGACCTTATTTACCTGAAACTGGAGGCAGATCCCACAGGTTAAAGGTCAGGTTCCCAAGACTGCCATGTACTTCAGTCACGAATTGCAGGCAGTGAGTTGTCAGCTCTCCTTCCTGCCGGCAAATCGAGGTTCCCATGATGCCTCTGGTTCTCCACACGTGTTAGAGTGGCTCACAGGACTCAGGAAAGCACTTAGGGTTACTGGTTTATTGTAATGGATTTTTCAAAGGACACAGGCGAACAGATGAAGAGATTCATAGGGCAAGGCTAAGGGGACAGGGCTGAGGAGCTTCATGGCCTTTTCATGGAACCCTCCAGGAACCTCCACGTGCCCAGCATTCAGAGGCTCTCTGAGCCCTGTGGTGAGGGATTTTTACAAAGACTTCATCATGTGAGCATGAGCAACATTAGCTCAGTCTCTATCCCCTCTCTCCTTCCTGAGGGATTGAATTTGGGGCTTTGATATTCCTGGTTTCTCATTACGGTCTGGTCTTTCTCTTGACTAGCCCCTGACCAGGAGATCACCAAAGTTGCCTTCTTGGAACAAATCACACTTCTGTTACCCAGGAAATTCCACGTGATCAGAGGCTCTTTGTCAGGATTGGGGTAGAGACCGATAAATGAATTTTTTCTTCTTTCACAAGCTCTTTCAGCTATTCCTCAGTTCTACTTTCTCTACAGGTCCCTCCTGTAAGAGGAGACTAGGTTGACTTTTTTTTTTTTTTAGACAGAGTCTCACTTTGTAGAGTGTGGTGGCATCACCACTCACAGCAAAACTCTTGGGCTTAAGTGATTCTCTTGCCTCAGTCTCCCAAGTAGCTGGAACTATAGGTGCCTGCCACAAAGCCTGGCTATTTTTAGAGACTAGGTCTTGCTCTGGCTCAGGCTGGTCTCAAACTTGTGAGCTCAGTCAATCCACCGATCTCGGCCTCCCGTAGTGCTAGTATCACAGGCATGAGCCACCATGCCAAGCCTAGGTTTCCTTTTTGAGATTGTTACTCAGCAGAACGGGAAAGAGTACGGACAAAAAGATCCTGTATCAGAACATGGAGCATCATTCTGCTTCTGTTTCTATGTCTTCTGTTGATTGTGTAAACTTCTGCTGATTTCCTGTCATACATTTCCATATATTAGAAATGCTTGGTTTTTATTAAGCAGCAGTTCCATATTTTTATGATATATTTTATGTTCTTTGTTTTTTATCTATAGTGTGTAGAATTGTTGTATTAAGGAATGACTGTTCAAGGCTGGGCACAGGGGCTCCATGCCTATAATCCTAGCATTCTGGGAGGCCAAGACATGGAGATTGCATGAGGACAGGAGTTCGAGACCAGCCTGAGCAAGAAACTGAGACCACCTTCTCTACTGAAAAGACAAAAAGTACCTGGGTGTTTTGCCAGGCACCTATAGTCCCAGCTATGTGGAAGGCTTAGGCAAGAGGATCACTTCACCCTAGGAGTTGGAAGTTGGTGTGAACTGTGATGCCATGACACTCCACTCAGGGTGACAGTGAGATTCTGTCTCAAAAAAAAAAAAAAAAAA